AAAATTCCTAATGAGGATAAATTATAGTATAAAATTTTACTAAGTTATGTAAATAATAATAAATGATATCAAAACAATTTCAGATAAAGATTAAATGAACAACCACAATTTAATTATTTTTAGCTGATTTAGCAGCATTTGTAAATATTTATTTCATCAACAAAATCGAGTCATATTGACCACAACCAACATCGAAGATAAATAAGGCGGTAATGATGCTCGAATGCTTCAATTTATAGGCAGACTATCAATACATTCAAATGGGTTTTATCAACAAAATTAAATAAATATTTTGTCAACTACCCCATCAACACATTTATGAGTTGTTTTGTTTTAATGAATTTGAAGCTATTTTAGTAGAAAAACATCAATAAATTTATTATTTCAACCATAAAATGTTAATAAACAATAACAAAGTGTAAGCAAAACAGTTGCATTTACTAAAACTTGTTTATTTGTTAATATTAGTGCTGTTTTATATCACATAAAATAATATTTCATTATGCTTAGAGTTTAATTTAATATATTTAACGTTATAAAATAATAAAGAACTTGAATCAAAAATGTATAAAATTTATTTAAATTAAAATAGCGGAAGAGGAGTCACCCTTAACCTATTATTATTACGGCGTATTTGCGTAATGGTCTTTAAAATATCCACATATATTTTTTATTTGATGAAAATTTCAACTCTGCGAATTATGTTTCCAATTATTAAGTTTCCAGATCCAGTGAATAAATGCATGGATAATTTATTACGGGCTTGGTCCACTGCACTTGTTAATCACAACCCTTTTGCTTAGCGAATGAAGGCGTTAAATTTATCTAAGAATGTTGCTTAGTATGCTCTGGATACTGTACAACTACTTTTATGATAATTCATTAGCAATACATTCTTGCCATCCCAAAAAAGAGTAATTATAACATTACAAAGGTTGGGTAAAGGCACAGTCATCGTCTCCTTAGAAGTTTTCTCATAGTTTTTTATGCTCTAATTTAACGATTTTTTGTTTAGTCACATGTTATTAGGAATATCACAATGGAGTCGTAAGGCCTAAATAAGTTAATCAATTAGATCGACAGCCACAATAATCCACCAATAGTTATAAATTGAACAAAATGTAGTCCACAAATTCATTTATAGATTACATAGCTCTCCCATGCTTTCTCTCCCATGTTTGAAATCAGCGAAACCACGTGATGGAATAGAATCCCTGAAGCTCATAAGCAAAATGGGGCTTGTTAACAATAGAATATTATTTCCATGATATAAAAAAACAATATAAAAAAATTCAAGCATATTAAATTATATATTCGTCTTTATTTTTGCTAATTCTTGAAGTCTATCAACAAAAAAATTTTTGTTATTCACAAATTATTATATTTGATATATTATAATCTATAGTGTTTGTTAAGTTTTTTTTTTTATTTCTGTAATGCATCTATTTGACGATAAAGAGCAAAACATTTGGAACATTTTACTCTATGAGCAATCATATTAAAAATATTATCCTGAAAATGCATGTGACAGAACACTGTTAACCAAACACATATGTATATTTTGTTTCCTCGGTGATATAAGTAAATCCAACGAATTAATCACATATATTGTGTTGAATCACAAAGTAATTATTTTGTACTAAATCAGAAAAAATCAACATGCCTAAAACTATGCAGTTATTATTGGCTACTTTTTCTGTACTAAAATTAAGAACGTAAACATGTAAGCAATTAATATGAACTTATAATTACTGGTTTTAGATGAATTCCAGAAAATATATTTTATAGATATATTTAACCTAAAGTACTGGAAATTTGGATGATAGTATTACCATTCTAGGAATGTGTCAATAAATAAATTACTTTGATCAATACTATAGATGTACATATACGTTATATGGACATATGAACAAGTTACTCTATATATTCACAATGTGTTTAGTATATATAAAAATAGTTTGATGGAACTGCGAAGTTATTCGATGAATCGACAAAAGACTTCTCAAGTGAAGTCCATTATGAGTTGATGATACTATGCAAATGATAAGAAACCTTATTAATACGTCTTCATGCCAATACACATCTAAGGAGTATGTCGGAGTCATAATCTAAGATAATCGGGATGGACATGTTCTATGGGAAACGTCCATCAAATATTATTAATACATAAGGCCCACATCAGCATCCATAATATCAACAATATTTAACATTTTGGCAACGATTTTACAAATTTATGTATTTGTGGAACATTTCTGTTTGCCTTATTTCTGTTTGTTTGCGCAAATTTCCTTTCATAATGAAACGCTATCTACTGAATATATTGTATATATGTTAGATAGTGAGAGAATTCTATTGAATCAAGATATCATTGTATACATTTGAGCAATATGTAGTAGGTATGTAGTAACTTTTAATGGTATATTTGATGAGAAAAACATATTTGTTTTGGTTAGTTTTTATATTTGAGGTCAATGTTAAAATTTTGACTCTATCTAAACGTAGTTCGGTCATAAGCCTAACAATTTTCTCAAATGGGTCACCAAAAATAAAAGTTTTGTGTTGTTTTTATGCTTTACGTACTTACCTATAACATATATGAAATGTTAATAGGTGTAGAGGCATATTGATTCTTAATATGTTTGAAGTAAGTAACTAAAATTGTTATCATTACTATTATTATTATTATTATTATTATTTAGAAGCATATTATTATTACTATTACTGAGTCTACAATCGTTTTCTTTCATGAAATCTCTACACCCTTTTCGATTGCGAGTCGATGACATCTAGTTCATTTAAGCTCTAAGCATACTGATATATATTATCTGTCTAACACTGATAACGCTTATTTCACTGCCTTCTTCCATAACATTTGCAGGTTTGAGGGTTTTTCAAGCAGACTTTTTTTTCCTCTTACAAATGAGATACTTTAAACATCAGCGTGTACCGAGCTATATCTTTGTTACATTTGCTTCCATATTTTCATAGAGTCTAGTTTCTGTTTGTGGGGATTCCTAATACAATAGTCTCAATTTGGTAGGGAATAATAATTTTCTCATAGATTTTTATAAATTTTTTCAATCTTATTCGTTATGTATACGTATATTGATCCTCTGGTTAAGATTACTTCTCTTAATAAAAATATAAGGCTAAGGCTAGAAGCATATAAGCAATCTATCTTAAGAAGCATAGGTGGTCTTGTAATTAATAAATTGTCTCAGAATTATAGTTCTGCCATATCTTTTTCAAATTACAATATTTATAAAGTTAATATTTGTAACTCGAAGATAATTATAGGCATTAGAAAATTCAGCCGATAATATTCTATACTAGCACATTATTTCTAATATAAAAAACTAATTAAATTTAATTTGATTTTAATTATTGCCAACTACATAAACTTTTTTATTTAATTTTAAATTACATTCTCTCCTCTTAACTTATTTTATTCCATATATACATAATGTATATATATATACAATATAACCATTATATATTATTATAACATATATTTACTAAATCATTATTTTTAATAATTAATTTTAAATATAATAACAACTATATACACTAATTTTATAGAAATCTATTACACATTAATATAGTATTAATTAATTATTAATTCTAAAAATGTGGTTAAGAATTCGTTGACTTGTAGAATTGCATTTGATTTACTGAAACTTTGACCAGCACAACCTCTTCAGCTAATTTTTAATTTATAAATCTCATGTATAACCATTCTCCGGGTGCAGTACCAGAGTATCTTCGGTTCACGCGAATTCCATGCTCTTTGTTTGTAAATTTTGTAGAATGCCTAAAATTTGCAAGGATTCAAATGTGTCAAAGTCATCAGCACAGCGCCCGAGTTGTTGCTTCGTACGCGGTAGTCTTAGGGTTACCGGCAATTGTTCCGCCATTACGGAATGATGCGTAACCAAGGCTTTGAGTGTAGTAAACTCCTTTTTAGCGCCTTTCAACTTGTAGTTATCATCAGTTGATATCACAGTGAAAAATTTGACTTTCGTTTCTACACGTAAACATAGTTCAAAAGTGCGCGACTTGCGACGCACTAAGAAAGTGCCAGGTGTTGCCAACTGCAAGCGCTCCAAAGCTGCTTTAGTGGTTATGCGTGGTTGATACCAATTGCTTTCCATTAGTTCAGGTAAATCATCATCGTCGATATTGTATCGATATTGTTGATATTTCGTGGGTGATTTTTTTGGACTGCGACGTTTCGGACTCTTTTCACTAATCAATTGGCAACAATCCGAAATGCCAGCATCGGACTCATCCGTTTGTGCGGCTGATTCTTCCGTTTCAGTTGAACTGCAATTGTTACTTTGCCAACAGTTGAGTGAGAGCGCAGATTTTTGTGGGCTGTTTGAGGATTTTTGTGTGCTTAGCTTTGGTATGTGTGGTGCACAGGCCTCTTCATCGGAGTTACTACTACAGCTGCAACTGCAATCTGTAGCATCCGCCTCTTCCTCTTCATCGGCATTATATGATGAGTCTAACATGTCAAGCTGTAAACAAAAAATATAAATCTTGTTAATTGGGTGACTTTGAAACTTTTGTTTGGATTTAGTTACCTCATCATAATCACTAGTTACATCTTCTTCATCTGTGTCACTAACAACAGTTTTGACATTGTCGTTTGGTTGCTTGTTTGTTGTATTGTTGCTGTCACTGTTGCAATTGCTATTGCTGGAGTGGCTGTTGTTAAGTTGAAAGAATTTTTTACGCAAAAAATCCTTCATGCAATCATACACCTTAGGCCTTTTAGTGGAACTAACAAGCACTTCTCTATCATGTTCCTGACCATAGCATTCGCCTGTTGTATTTTGCGTGTAATAACCTGAGCTAACTGTACAGGAGTATGTCGTTGTGGCTGTTGGAGATGAGTTGCAAGATGCTTGACTGACATCTAAATTTGTTGTTGCTGTTGGCAGGAATTTACTACTCCATTGTTGATACTTTTTAATCGCCAAGTCCATGCTCTTCACAGTTACTGTTGCTGCTGCTGTGGTAGATGTTGTTGGTATTGTAGTGTTGTGATATTCCGTATAGAGTTCTGAATATGCCGGATATTTTCTAACTTCTCGACTCTGTAAATAAAAAAAATATGTTTAAAATTTGACGTAACTTTAAAGGAAAAATATGAAAAATTCAATTAAAGTTTAAGTAATGCAATTATATGTATTTAGAAGATGTTTATTTTTAAGTATGCTTGAGATTTTTAGACCTTTTTTATATATTATTTAATATTTTTTAAAATTTAAGTCCCTGAAAATTATATTTGGTGTGGAGAAAAAATTCGAAATAATTTTAGAAGACTGAAATGTTAAAATTGGAATCATTATCTTTTAAACAGGAAATAAGTTAAAATTCTCCAAATGGACAGTTTTCTTGAATAGAGACCCATTTTGGAAGAACAATTCTTTTAAACAAATTTCTTCTTATTAAATCTTCGAAAAACTTTTTTTGGGTAAGTTAAAAGAAGCTTAATCCTTATACTTCTTGAACAAACAAGTGTCAGTATAATATGAGTGAGGATTAAGTGAGCTTTAGATTTTCGCTTTTGCAAGAAGCATATTTGCTTCTTCATATTCGAATCCTATGTATTATTATGTTAAGCTTTTTCCGAGTTAGTGTATCAGTGCACTTTTAGTTTTTGATAGCTGGGGGGTTTCTGCAGAGTCCCACTCATCTCACTGACTAATTTGTTTATTCCTTATAACCTTCGTGATTATTCAATGATTGATCTAAGATCTGTATGCCGCCCAGTGCGGTTAGTGATTACTCTAAAATTAGGTAGTGTTAAGTAGGGCAGCCTGTCGGTTTTTGCATATAGCTTCAGGGCTCTGTCCCTTATGTATTTTTTGACAGGATATATTCTAAGGTTTCTTAGCATGTCATACGTGTGGATGTACCATGGCACTTTGAAGAGTCTTAGGAGAGCCCTACTTTGAGCAACTTGCAGCTTCTGGATAGTAGAGTCGGCAGCCTTGCTATGCGCAACAAACCCATAAAGTAGTACTGGTCTAATTATCTGGCTATATTAATAATAAAAAAGTTTCTATAAACGTTCGGAGTGGTCTGCTCTACTGAGAGCCTAAATCACTTTTATATATTTACATATTTATATTGCGTATATATATGTGTTACCTTGTTTTATTACATGTCTGAGCTATTTAACTACAAAAACTATTTAAAACTATATAAATACTAAAGTCAAATATAATATTTGTTTTTGAAATAAATTTTCTAAACTAAAAATTTTGTTTGCTTTAATATTTTCTTCAGTGAAAAAATATATCAGAGACAGAGCTCTAAAATTATTCACTAAAGTTGATATGCTAATTAACCTCGCCCTAACAATCCTCAAGTCCACTTCTGGACTATCAGGAAGATATGCTGATTTAAGGTCCGTCATCAACAAAAAGACAAATAAATGATATGTTTTTTTTTTAGCCTAGTTAAAGCCTAGTGTGGGGTAGAGATAAGCCCCCCAGCCATTGTAGAGTAAAAGTGCGTAATAGCACTAACTCAAAAAGAAAAAGAATCAAGATCAAAATAAAATTTATATTTGAATATTGTTTAAGTCCACGCCTACTTTTGCCTTTTTGATGTAAAAATAAGTTTTGAATGTTTGACAAATTATATCAAAATATCTATGATTAATCGAAAAATATGCACATAAAAGTTATGCCTCCTCATCTATCTCAAGCAAAGCAAAATCTGTTTCCCAGAAGCCATAAGGAACACACACAAATTTTTAAAAATCAAAGCAAAAAACACAAATGCAACAAGGACATGGACTAATAATCTTCAAAAGGGAACACCTACTTTTTTCTGAGAACCCACATTCTTTGACAAATACATATGACTTGACATATATAATGCAAAAAGGACATGGAAGTGAGAGAGTGTGCTGATTTCGAAATGCTTTCCTTTGGAGGAAAGAACTTCAATGTAAATGTACTTGCAAAAGGCATATTTTGTAGTGGAAAGAATATGCAAAGATACAATTTTGAATACACAAAAATTTTAATTAAAAAAGTATAATTCTTTTATGTTCTGATATGAGTATAGTTTCCACACAAAAAATGTCCTTTTGATGTGTACTTAAATTGCAAATAATCCATTTTGGCTGCACAAAAACGTCCAAATTAAATTACGCATCTTTCAAAAGAATTCAAAAGTATGTAGTTTCTCTGTATTTTTTTCAAATAAGTAATATTTTTTAACATATTTTGTGCAATTTGCTTCATCCTTAGAAGGATGTGTTCTATTGTTATAATTTTTGAAAATTTTGCTTACTAAAAGACACGACGTCCTACACTTTAATAATGTCACATTATGTTAGGTCAGTTTAGATATTTATTTTTTTTTGTTTTATGTTCTGAATGCTCATACAACACATAAAATTTAATGTTTTGTTTGACAACTTATGTCAAACATTTTGTACTGTTGTTATACGTCAGTGCACCTAATGTCCTTTTTGCCTGCATAAAAGTTTTCAAATTAAATTTATTCATACACTTGGTGTTAACCGAAATACAAGAAAAGCCGTAGTTTCCTTTTTATAATATTATTTTTTATATACAGTATTGTCTCTCCGTCTGTTGGTCTGTTGGTCTGTTGGTGTATGTTCTCCTTTTATATGCAATTCATGTTTCCCATATCAAAAGGCAAAACTACCAACTGACACACATATCCTTGGAGTATCTCGTGCGTTT